AAAAATGAAAATTGTATACGGTACACGTTTTCGAAGTTTAACTACCGGGAACACGTTTCTGATACCTTATTACATACAAATGGACCTTCCGATACTTGTCTACGTTCTTTTCTGCTAATTGTTGGGGGTTGAAATCCATGTCGAAATTCAGCACATCTCGGCATTAAAAGGTTAATACGACTTTTTCTGCAGAAGCGAAATCTGCAATAAAAAATGGGGGTTTTCTCATTAAAAATTTTAAAGTTACCTACCCTTTCACCCCCAGCGGATGGTAGGTGGGGGATAGAATTTTTGTGTCAATGGATAGCTTTCTTGACAACATTGAATACGTACATTTTTATTTTTTTGATCCTTTGAGTATTTCTTGAGATATTTTAAACGTTTTAGACTCATTTTTTAATTTCGCTGATTACAGCGCCATCTGTCATCAAAAAAATGTTTGTAATAGGTAAAATTTATGTAACTTTTTCTGAAGGAGCGAAATCTGCAATAAAAAATGGGTTCTCATTTAAAATTTTAAACTTACCCTCTCTTTCACCCACAGCGGGTGGGGTGGGGGGTCACGTCAGATGTCAAAAGATAGCTTTTTTGAAAACACTGAATACGTATATTTTCAGATTTCTGATCCGATGTGTATTTCTCGAGATATTCGACCGTTTCCACACTTTTCGGACACCCTGTATATCATATTTTTAGTTATTCAAACTGCGCGCCGAAATTTTCCCGGACTTTATCTAACGTAATTAAACTACTGCAATAATACCACAAGTTAAATTAAATTGACAATATGCCGAAAATAATTACTTCTAATATTTAACTGATTAATGATGTCATTTTGATATCATAATTACCTCTATTATTTAACTGATTAATGATGTCATTTTGACATCATTTTGGTAACATAATGACCTCCAATAAAAGGATTTTTAGAAATCTCCAAAAAGATAAGAAATCCATCAGTAAACACAATGAGTGCTTTCCATTTGATGACACAAGGCGACACAAGCATCGTTCTATCCTTGTTGACATTAAGAGAGTGACAAAGATAGAACGACACTTGTATCGACTTGTGTCATCAAATGGAAAGCATCCATTGTTACATGTAACGTGCATGTAACATGAAATATCAACAAAACAAGGTAACATAACACAGTGTGTTATATTAACTGTAATATAACACACTGTGTTATGTTACCTTGTTTTGCTGACATTTTATGTTACATGATGTACGTTACATGTAACATTGTGTTTACTGGGAATTTTTGTTTTAAATTATAATTATAAACAAAATATAAAGAAAATTGTTGTTTAATGAAACATTTTGTAATTAAATATATTTATATGCCATGAGAGAGAGAGAAAACAAAACACTAATAATTACAAAAAATATGAATTAGTCTATAAAATGTTCGATTTTATATTAAAGTGGTTATTTATAAAGTTATTACCTCATTGTAGTTGAAAATGTAAAATTATTATAATAGTAAATGTTAAAAAAGTTTCTGATTATAGCCTAAATTGTAGGTTTAAATTATAGATAATTAACCTTCAATACACTTTTAAAACTTTATGACGATTTTTCATATAAAAATAATCATGCATGCATGCATACATGCATGTACCATACGGCATACTATGAATAAGTGTATAACGTTACATATAAATATAAGCACTTAGACCACAAAATAACTTTTAATAAAATTTGCATAAACAATAAAGAATATTAATAGCTAAACATACTCTTTGAAATAACTTTATCTGAGAAATAACTTTATCACAGTCCAAAAAATTAAGAAAATTAAAATTATAATTCATTTTTTAAAGAATTTACAAATATAACCGTTATTTATGATATATTTTTATGTACATTGAAAATGACCCGATCGGATTCGAAACGTTTGTAATATTATTATTTTAATTTTTGTTCGTTGTAATACTGAATCTATGCCCTGTTAATATTTATATTGTCTTATTAATAAAGTTTTTAGTTGAATTAAGTAATATTACTTAATATTCAGTATACATACATAGATTCAGTATTACAACGAACAAATTTAATTACCAGGTATGTAAATATGAAACCGGAATTTACCAATAGATGGCCATAGCTGTCAATGTAGTTGAAGGCAGACCGCGTCATTGACGCCATTTCCTTGTTCTGACATCTGACAAAGATATTCAACTCACAACAATACAAGTTTCATACAACAGTATAGTTTGTAATAGCGTTGAACATGTCGAATTTTGTGCCTGGA